TGTTATCTAGATTTTCCCGTTTGCATTCTCTCAACAAGTATGCGTTTAAGTGCATTTTAAGTGATAACCGTAATTTCGCATATCGTCGATAAGTACGAGAATTCCCGCATAGTATATAATTTCCGTCATATTTTTTCTACGTTAAACACACGTGGCATTTAACGATAATCGATAAGTCGATCAATTAATTGACTCCACGAATCCTTGGATCTTAATTTCGCGAAAATTCCACGCTCGATTCGCAGAGTAAGTAATCCTCCATGTTCTTTTTCTCATTCTCGTTTGTCAAGACCTTTCTAACAAATTAATCAGCTAATATTGTAGTTAAACGCTATTTCTCCTCAAGTGTGTCACGTCGAGTATCTCCGATCGACAAGATTTGTTTGTTGCAACAGAGAAATCATCCAAGTGTTTCCTAACAGATATTACTAGTTATTAATTGTTTGAAAGTGTTCGAAATATTAACTTCAAATCTTGAAAGAAATGTTTCAGACAACTGTAAAACGTAAAAGTTCAAGATGCTAATAATCTGAAATATTAATTGCTATTGATTTCAAACAGTTAGCAAGTAGGAAATGCTAGTTTAAAATGTTATTACTATAATTGCAATGAGAATAACTATTAATTAAATATTAATTGAAATATTAATTTCAATCATTGTCGACCATACAGCTCGTTATTAATTAAGGACGCCAATAATCACAAAATGTTAATATTAACAATTCAGAAGTCTCTTCTGCCTCGACGAAAGAAAATCGAAAAGAGATTAAGGGTATAAGATTTATACTCGTTAAATTTGTACATGATTCAGTCCTTTGGATATTAATTTATTTAGTTTATTCATATGCTTGTGATATTTTATATTATTATTACCATCGTAGTAACAATAATAACTTGATCTGCGTTACGTGCCCTTCATTCTATATTAAACTCGGAAATTTTAACAATTTCACAACACCCGAAGGATCGATAGAAACGATCGCTCTGCTTAAAAGCACACCAAGCTAGCTAATCACGAATCACGTGCGTTCGTCAAATCAACGACGATAACGTCGAAAATATGCCAATTAGCCGATAGCCGGTATCGTAGTGCGAACCA